GCCCCCCTGATCCCCACATTCCCTGTGCCCCTGGTGGCCCCTCAGACCCCTCTGCCCTCACACATCCCTCCCCACCCCTGGGCCCTGGAGCCCCCAAGCCCCTACAACCAGCCCTGTCCCGCCATGTTCCCTGTGCCTTTGGTGTGCCCACATGGCTCCTAAATCCCTCACGGGCTCAGTGCCCCACACATTCTCCCCTCCCGGACCCCCAGAACCCCTACAGCCATCCCAGGTCCATAGTCCCCATGTCCCTGGTGTCCACATATGGCCCCTACAGCCCCCATGGACTATATGGCCCTATATATCCTTCCTCCCAGACCCCCAGAACTACCCCTGTGCCCCACAGCCCCTTCCAGCCAGCCTTGTGTCCCGCCGTGTTCCCATGGCCCCTATGGCCCCCATAGGCACCCCCTCCCAGAGCCCCTAGTCCCTGTGCCCCCCATATGCCCCTGGTAGCCCACTCTGCCCCCCCGGCCCTCATACACACCCCCCTCCCAGAACCCACAGCCCTTACAAACACCCCTAGACCCTTTAAACCCCTGTGCCCCCAGAGCCCCCCTATATCTGCCATGCTTCCTGTGTTCCCCATATACCCCCTCTACTGTCCTGTGCCCCAAGGACTCCCACAGCCCCCCTGTGCCCCTATTGCCCCCCCATATCACTTTATGTCCCTGGTGCCCCCCACAGACCCTATAAACCTCAGTGTCCCCACAGCCCCTCGCCCTTGGTACCCCCATAGCCCCTATAGCCCCCCTGTGCCCCCACAGTGCCCTCTCTACACCCCTGGTACCCCCATAGCTGCCCCCATGCCCCTTCACAGCTCCTCTAATTCCCTTGTGCCCCCATAGCCCCCCCACTCCTCGGTACTCCCGGAGCCCCCCCATGTCCCCATTGCTCCCAAACTTCCTCACGTGCCCGGGGGGCTGTGGGGTCCCCACGCACCCCAGAAGCCTCCTGGAAGTTCCCACCGGAGTTCTCCATGCCCCTCCAGTGTCCCCATGCACTCCCATGACTCTGTAGAAGTTCCCAGGGGTGACCCCTATGTCCCCATTAAGTTCCCAGGGGTGTCCCATGGTGTCCCCACGCGCTCCCACATCCTTGTGAAAGTTCCCAGGGATGACCCCCATTTTGTCCCATGTCCCCATAACAGTTCCTGAAGGTGCTCCACAGTGTCCCCATGCACCCCTTGTCCCCATAAAAGCTCCCAGATGTGCATCCCCGCTCTCCCCCCACGCTTGTGTTCCCATAGAGTTCCCGGGAGTGTCCCACAGTGTCGCCACGCAGCCCCGTGTCCCTGTGCTTGTCCCTGTGCAAATTCCCACAGCTGCCCCATGGTGTCCCCATGCACCTCCAGGTCCCAGGAGAAGTTCCCAGGAGCGTCCCACGGTGTCCCCACGCACCCACGTGTCCCAGTATAGGTTTCCAGAGGTACCCGTGTACCCCCATGTCCCCACACACTCTCATGCCCTCCTGGAAGTCCCCAGGGGTGTCCCCCCCTGTCCCCAACACCCGTGCCCCAGTTTAAGTTCCCAGAGTTCCCCCCTGTGTCCCCCCGTGTCCCTGCAAAAGTTTCCAGGGCTGTCCCCGATACCCTGTACCCCAGTGCAAGTTCCCCGGGGTGTCCCAAGGTGTCCCGGCACCCCCGGCTGTCCCCCTGGGTCCCTCTGCTGTCCCTGCAAGAGCTCCCAGGGGTGTCCCCTGTGTCCCAGAGCAAGACCCCAGAGTTGTCCCATGGTGTCCCTGTGCCCCTCCGTGTTCCCCGTTCCCCGTGTCCCTGCAAATGCTCCCGGGGGTGTCTCCCCGTGTCCCCTCGTGTCCCTGTAGAAGTTCCCAGGGGTGTCCCACGTGCGTCCCTGTCCCAGTGCCAGTTCCCAGGGGTGTCCCACGGTGTCCCTGCGCCCCTGCGTGTCCCCGCTGACGCCGACCCGTGTCCCCGTGTCCCAGTGCCCGTTCACAGGGCTGTCCCCGTGTCCTCGTGCCAGTTCCCGGGAGTGTCCCCGTGTCCCAGTGCCCGGTCCCAGGGTGTCCCCGTGTCCCAGTGCCAGTTCACAGGGTGTCCCCGTGTCCCTGCACAAGTTCTCGGCGTTGTCCCCGTGTCCCTGCACAAGTTCCCGGGGCTGTGCCCGTGTCCCAGTGCCCGTTCCCAGGGGTGTCCCCGTGTCCCAGTGCCCTTTCACGGGGTGTCCCCTCTTGTCCCAGTGCCAGTTCCCGGGAGTGTCCCCGTGTCCCAGTGCCCGGTCCCAGGATGTCCCAGTGTCCCTGCACAAGTTCCCGGGGCTGTCCCCGTGTCCCCGTGCCCGTTCCCGGGAGTGTCCCCGTGTCCCCGCACAAGTTCCCGGGAGTGTCCCCGTGTCCCCGCACAAGTTCCCGGGGCTGTCCCCGTGTCCGTTCCCAGCGGTGTCCCGCCGTGTCCCCGCCGCCCCCCCGTGTCCCCGCGGGCGCGCGCTGCGCGGCCCCGCCCCGCGGGCCGGGGGGGCGCCGCAGCGGCGATGGGGCGGCGGGGCCCGGCGGCGCTGGGGACCCTCGTGCTGCTGGGGACGCTCCTGGGGGTGAGTGGGGCCGGGGGCCCGGGAGCGCGGGGGGCTGGGGGTCCCCTCGCCGAGCTGGGAGGTCCCGGAAAGGAGTTGGGGGCCCCGGAGTTGGGGTCCCGCGAAGGAGTTGGGGACCTCTAAAGGATTTGGGGTACCTGAAGGGAGCCGGGGTCTCTACCCGCGGACTTGGGGTCTCTTAAAGGAGCTGAGGTCCCTTGCAGGAGTTGGAGTCTCCCCCCACGGAGCTGGAATCCCCAAAGGAGTCGGGGTCCGGGGAGCTGGAATTCCTTGTGGGAGTTGGGGTCCCCTACAGGAGTCGGGGTCCCCGGAGCGGGAATTCCGTAGAGCAGTTGTGACCCCCCTGTGGTTTTGGGGTCCCTTAAAGTACTTTGGGGCCCTTAAAGAATTTGGGGTCCCCACACGGTTCTGGGATCTCCTAAAGGATTTGGTACCACGGAGCTGGGGTCCCCTAAAGGAGTTGGGGTCCTCTAGAGGAGTTAGGACCCCCTCCCCGGAGTTTGGGATCCTTGTAGGAGTTGGGGTCCCCCACGGAGTTTGTGTCTCTTGAAGGACTTGAGATCCTTGTTATCACGGAATTGGGGTCCCCCAGGACACCAAGGAGATGTGGGGGTCCCTGTTCCTCAAGGGATTGGGGTGTTCCCCCTGTACCAGGGGATTCCCGACACCCTGCCCCCCTCCCTAAGGGACTGGGGGTCCCCCCCTGCACCGGAGTCACGTGGAGACCCCAGGGCCCACCCTGTCCCATCTGGGAATTGCAGTGGCCCCCCAAAGGAGGGGTGGGGTCCCTCTCCCGTGCGCTGCCCCATCTGGGAATGGGGTGTGTGGGGTCCCCCTCCCTGTCCTCTGTGGGGCTTGAGGTCCCCCTGGGGCTGGGGGTACATGGGGTCACCCACCCCTATACCCCTGTGGAACTGGGGTCCCCATGACCCCCGTGTGAGGGTCCCGCTCGGGGGGGCCCCATCACCCCACCCTGTTCCTTCAGGGAGTTGGGGTCCCCCATGACCCCAGAGTGGGGATGGTTCCCATCACCCCATAAATACACCCATGGTGGTCCAGCCCCCCCCTCTCCCCCACACCCTGCCGTGGGTGGGGGTCACTTACAGGGGCACTTACTTCCTGCTTTTGGGGTGCCCCCCACCCCCCCGTCCGCACCNTTGTGCTCGGGGCCGTGCTGGCAGCGCGGCCCCCCCGCTGTCCGTGGGGCTCCCACCCACGTCCGGGGGGGCTGGCGGGGACAAAGGGGGGGGATCCCCACTTTACGATCCCCCACCCTCCATTCTGCTGAGGCACAGGGGGGGATTTGGGGACCGAGCAGCTCAATCACCCCCCTGGCCGGGATGCTGGGCCGTACATCCCCCTCCAAACACGTGGGGGGGGTTCCCACTCGGCCCACGGAGGGGTTTGGCGTGGGGTGGGGCACGGGGGTGCCACCTCCAAGGGCTGCGAAGAGTTAATTTGGTGGGGGGGAAGGGGAGGGCGAAGCAGGAATGTGCGATAAGATCACCCTGCCCGGGGGGAAGGGCTGGGGAAGGGGGGGACACCCCACGCACACCTCCCGCGCTCCTGCACACGCGTGTGCCCGGGGCACGCACGGAGGGGGGCACGGCCACGGCCGCTCTGGGGGCCCCGCGCTGCTGGGGAGGCTCCTGTCACACCTGGGGGCACGTGGGGGCATTTGGGGACACCTGGGAGCATTTGGGGCTACCTGGGGGCATTTGGGGCCGCCTGGGAGTGCTCGGGGGCACTCGGGGACCCTCCGGGCCCGCAGCGCACATGGCCTCTTGCCTTCGGCTCTTTCCCATCGCCAAAGATGGCCCGGCTGGGATGAGGAGGAGGAGGAAGGCGGGGAGGAAGGTCAGCTCAGACGCTGGGTCCATGCCAGGACTCCTGGGTTTCCCCCTCACCATGAAAACCTGACACTCCCCCTAAAAGTCTTGCTATCCCACAAAAAAACCTACTCCCCCAAAAAATTCCCCCCAGAAAATCTGTCTATCCCCCCAAAAAAAACCCATCTCCACCCCCATATCCATCTCCCCCCCAAACCCGTTTCCCCCCCAAAAAATCACATATCCCTTCCCCCAAAAATCCATTTTCCCCCCCAAAACCCATCAACCCCTCCAACTCATCTCCACTCTCCAAAACCCCTCTCCCTGCCCAAAACCCCTCCAATCTCCCCCCAGAAAATCACCCCCCAAAACCAGAGTCTCCCCTCCAAAACCCATTTACCCCAAACCCGCCCGGATCGGCCCCCCCCAGCCCGAGTCCTTTCGGGATAAATTAGGCAATGCCAGCAGGGAGGAATGCAGGGGGGAGGGGGGAGGGCAGACACATATTTGGGGCCCCCCTGCCTGCCCGGCTGTGGCTTTGACCCCGCAGCTGTTTCACCCCCAAATCCCGGGGGCGGCTGGGGGGGGGGGGAGAGCAGCTGCCTCTGCCCCCCCGGGACCAGCGTCCCACCAGCTGTGCTGGCAGCCCCCCCAAATCCTGGGGTGACCCCCATCCCCCCAGCTGGGGGTGGCTCAGTCCTTGGGGACCCACGGGCGGGGGGAGCAGGGTTTTTTCATGGGGAAAGCACCTTTTAGCATGACCTTGGGGGAACAATAAGCCGGGGGGGACTGCTATTAATAACCCCCCCCGGTTATTATTCTTGTGCTGCGTCACCTCCTCTTCCTCACCCGGATGAATTAACGGGGGGGGGCACATCCAGATTTGGGGGCCACTTCGAGATTTGAGGAGCCACATCCAGATTTTAGTGAGGGAACATCCAAACTGGCGGGGGCGGACATTCAAACTGGCGGGGGCACCCAAATAAGGGGGGGGTGTGAGGTGTTCCCCCAATTTGGGGTGCAGTTTGGAAGCGGGACGTGGGCAGGGTGGCGCTTCCTCAACCTCCTCTTCCTCGCCTCCCTCCCCCCAACTTTTCCCCAGAGTGCGGGGCAGGATTTGGGCCGGGGAGTGGAAAATGTGAGCGGCGGCGGGGCCGTGGCGTCCGGCCGGGCGCGGTGCCCCGGCGGCAGCGGGGGGGACCCGGGTGTCCGGGGGGGCCCAGGCGTCCGGGGGTGCGGGGCCGCGGCGCGGAGAGGCTTCCGGTAACCGGAGAGGGGGATTGTCCCCGACCCTGCGCGGACACCGCCGGACACCCGACACGCAGCTGCCCTTCCTCCGGCCGGGCTGGGGCTGCGGCGCCGGGGCTGGGCACCCACGGGCTCGGTGCACGAGTGGGGGGCGATTCCAGGGCACGCAGGGGTTGGGGAGCAGGGACTGGCACCTTCGGGTTCGGTGCACCCGTAGGGGAGACGGTGGCGGAGGCCCCGCACGCTCGGTGCGGGTGCGGGGGCTGAGCAGCCACACGCGTGGGGATGATGGCAGAGCCCCCACACTCGGGGTACACGCGTGGGGATGTGGGGCCGAGCACCTGCACGCTCAGTGCACATCTGGGGAGCGGCACAGCCACCCCAAGCACACACGGCCTCGTGCCTCAGTTTCCCCTTGCACGAGGGCCGGGCTGACACCCACGAGGGGCCTCCCCAGGCAGACCCCTTGGGGTGTTGGGTCTCCCATCCGTGTGGCCGCGTGCCCCGCGTGTCCCCCCCGTGTCCCCCCATGTTCCCCCCGTGTCCCGTCCCCCCCAGCGCCCGCCTAATCCCCCGGCGCTTGTTTGCACAGCAAAGTGCTGCTGCGACGGATTCCTGCCGGGGCCGGGGCGGGGGCACCCGGGCGCCGCACACGCGTGTGCCCGGCCCCGCGGGCACCGGGCACGCCCGGCTGGGGCACCGGGCACACCCGGCTGGGGCACGGGGCACGCCCGGCTGGGGCACACGCGTGTGCCAGGGCGCGGGTGTGGCGGTGCCAGTGTTCGTGCACGGTCACCTGTGGGTGACTGCCGATGTGTGTGCGCTCACACGCGTGCACGGCCGGCCGTGGACGTGTTGGTGCGCGCAGGGATGCAAACGCGCGTGCACAGCCACGTGTCACCGTGCACGCGCGTCCGCGTGTCCGCTCCCCGCGTGTGGCAGCGCACGCGTGTCCCCGTGTCACTGAACCCGCCCGTCCCCGTGTCAGCGCACACGTGGAACAGTGCAAACGCGTGTGCTCACGCTTCCCGTGTCGCTGCACACGCGTGTGCACACCGGGCTCCCTGGCACACGCCCCAGTGCCCGCACATGCGTGTCCCGGTGCCGGCAGTCCCGGTGCCGGTGTTCCCTGGCCGGCAGTCCCGGTGCCGGTGCCGGTCGGGCAGGAATGCCGATGGTGTGTGATGAGCTCATCCCGCTCCCTTTTCCCGATGACGCCACCGCACAGCCATGCACCCCCACCCCCGTCCCCCCCGGGTGACGTGTCCCGCGGGTGGCCCCATCCCGTGGTGGCCCTGTCCCATGGTGGCCCCGTCCCCTGGTGGCCCCATTCCACGGTGA